TAGGTTACTTTCTGCAGCTGCTGCAACTGCAAATGGTGCATATGGTAATTTATCGCCATTTTCTTCCCTCTAGCTTCTGACTAGTGCATGTTATCTTTTGGAGTAACTTTACTATCAGATAGTATCTGAATTATCTTCTTGAAGTAGCTTCAACTTGTAGTACCTTTTTATGAATATTTTCATATTTTTTTTTGATAATCGAGAAATCCCCGAAATAGCTAGTTGGCACATAGTCCGAAACTTGGTGGATAATGGGCCCACCCTCTACCCTTCTCCACTTATCTATGATGTTGTTGTCTATGTCAGCGTGCATATTTCCATCATTTGTACATTATCTTTAAACATTGTGGTGGTCATATAACATGACAATGGTCCCTGGCTCCCTGCCCTTCCTTTTTGATAAGAGGCCTTTGAGAATTTCTCCCCTTACGTGATTGATCTATATTATGACTCTTTTAAACTGAATAAAGTTAGTTAGTGTTCTTCTTGTTAATAATTATGTTCTCTTTGGTACTTCTCGTAGCTGTTTGGGATAGTTGCACTTTGGGTTCCTCACATTTGACAAATTCCAATTCTGGTCCTTGTGATGTTTGACTAAGCTCAGTTTGTTAATGAATTGACTAGACAAAATTAACATTCAACTGATAGAAATGTATGCTTTTGATCTCACCAATCACGAATTCCCACAAACATGGTGATATTTTAACTGTTAAATCTTGTGACTACCCATGTGTTGGGCTAAGTGGAGTATAAGTATCAATATAACCTACACTTAGCATAACAGGTGTGTTCACTTTAGCTGTTAAAAAGTTTGTTAACTTTGTGAAATCAGGAGAACTAAACAGAAATTTTGGGAATAATTGATGGTCTAGAAGCATACTTATGCCTAACTTTTTTTCACCTCTTTATATGACCTAGATAGAGCCGCTGTAAACATAAAATACTCCAAGCAGAGACGTATGTTTCATTTTGCATCTGCGATAAGTTCAAGCATTTAGCTCCAGGGGAACACATTGGTGACCTCATCTTCCGTTTCGGCGCTCCTTGAAGTGTTATTGCAACTCATTCAGCCGAATTAGAAAAGAGTTATTGGTTAACAAAGTTACTTATAAAAAAAGAAGTTATTAGTTAACACAGGCTTTAATGAATCAAATAAAGAAGCAAAAGAATTACATATAAGAAATTGAAGACTTGAATGGCTAATGAGTTACTGCAAGGAGCCAAGGACGTGCAGGCCCTGAAAAATTATGAAATAACTTAGCAAAGGGAAGCCTAACTAAATGCCGTTTTATCCATCAAACCAATCTAATTTTAATCTTGCTTGGCTGAACTTTTCAAAAAACGGATTATACTTGCAAGCTTGAATGCATATTTTATTCTTTGGGCTGTCAAAAGAAAACAAATTAGCTTAAGAAGCTCAGTTTCTGTGTACTTCCATCAGTTATCACATTAACATTATAATGTGTTTTACACATGGAACTTTACTGGTTTAACGTAATATCCATGTTTATTGTAGCTTAGTGCGCATACAGATGTGTTTATTATTAATTAGCAAGGATTATCCTCGGCTTTCGATTTGTTTCTTACCCGTTGGATTTGGATAACTTTTTGGTTCAATTGTATTTAATTGAGAGTCTATTTTCAGAATTTTCTGAATCATTGCGAGAAATGGGCGATTGTCTTCTTGAGAAAACAGCATTGAATGATGATGAAGAAAGCGGTGAGTATGAAGCATTATTATGTTTATTGATCAATTGTATGACCAACTCGACTAATATTATTTTACAAGCATAACTCAACTAAGTTTTAAGCTGTTATAGAGAGGACACTTTTATTTATTTATGTTATGAATACAATCCTTCACACGTGGTTGTAATTCTTTTCCTTAGGCCAAGCACGTTGAACAATTGAAGTATCTCTTTATTACGGATGTTGCTGAAACTTGAACCTAGAGTTGTTGCATGCATCAGTACCATGTTGAATTGTTAAATCGCCTCATCTAAAGCATAAACTATTAGACAGGGGATTCTTACTTATTTCAATCAGATCTACAAAATTAATAAATAGTTATCAATAAAATACCCCAAAATAAAAGTTCTATGATGTCCGCTCTGTTGAAGGTCCTCATTGCATGATAGCTGATCTTGTTAGTTGCCAAATCAAAAGAAATAGATTTTGTTAATTGTGGTTTCTTTTGTTCTTAAATCATAATGTGCACATCTTTGGATTGTTAGAACTCATTATACTGTTACTTTAGTCTTTATACTGCCTTGCTAAGAGATCAGCTGCAATTCTCCTTAACACCTCCCCCCCCTCCTCCCCCCCTTCTTTTTTCTATTTTCAATTTGGATTGTTAAAATTGAGCTTGTTTCATATGAACAGGTAAGGTATTGCTAATGCTGGGTAAAATGCAGTTTCAGCTTCAGAGACTTGTAGATAACTATGTGAGTGCTTAATTTGAATTGATTTTTTTTAAAGTTCTTGAAAGTACCCTATTTTGATGAGTATTTCTGTTCTCTTATCAGCGATCACATATTATCAGGACAATCGCAGTCCCCTCAGAATCCCTTCTCAACGAACTGCGCATAGTTGAGGTTAGTCATCTGGATAAAGCAACTCTAGCTATGGGCTACACCTGCAGATTGTGTTATTGACTGACAATGTATTATTCTTCTTATGCTTCTATCTGCATTTTTCTAGAGCTTCAGTGTTCTCTTAGAAAAGGAAAAAGTTTATGGTGCTTTGTTTTTAGTTTGCCGCACCTCCCCATTGTCTTGGTACTTTTGCTTGTCTGACCTCGGGTACCTGTTTTATGGAAATTTTATTTTACTAGATGAAAACAAAGTGCAAAACTCTTGCTACTTATACAGACTTCTACCCTGAATACATGCTTTCTGCAATATGAAGACTAGGGAGTCTGATGATTACCAAAATTCACAAGGATAAATTATCATTTTGTCTTCCCTTTGATGGTAGATAGTAACTACTGGGACTAGGCTTTCACAATTAGAAACATAATTTATCTGTTGAATAGATATTGTTGCATTTTTCTTATGCTTAAAAGTCTTCCGAACTTTGACTGTTGATGTTTTTTCCCCTCTTTGTGAAGGAGATGAAGCTACAATGTGATAACAAGAGGTAAAACTAGATCACTTTTAATCTTATGTTTAGCTTTTCCCTTTGTGAGAGTGTCTTCTCACTCTCTCTTCTTCTTCAGAGAAGTTTATGAGCAGATGGTGCAAAAATACAGAGATAAAGGCAGGATAAAAGGCGCTAAAGGAGAATGTATTTCATCTCACCAGCTGCAAGCAGCTTATGAAGAATACGATGAGGGGGCCACTGTTTTTGTATTCCGTATGAAGTCCCTCAAGCAAGGACAATCCCGCAGCCTTTTAACACAGGCAGCTCGACACCATGCTGCTCAGGTTCTTTTTTCCTTTGGTGTTAATGAAATCCCTTGAGTTTCATAGTGAATCAAAGCATATGCTTGCCCCTTATTTAGGGTGGTTGTTCATGAGCTTTGGCTTGTTTGTTTAATCAGTTGTCTTTCTTCAAGAAAGCCGTCAAGTCTCTTGAGGAGATTGAGCCACATGTCAAATTGGTGACGGAACTGCATCATATTGATTATCACTTCCATGGGCTTGAAGAAGATGATGGAGATGATGCTGGCAATGATGATGATGATGATGAAAATGATTACGACGATGACTCTGATGACGGATCTGAGTCACTTGATGATGGTGAACTGAGTTTTGACTATGGACAGAATGACCAGGTTAATCCATCAACCCATTCAATGGAGGTATGTTTTTGTCCTTTTTTGGAATTGATGTGGAACTTCATGAAATTGTTCTCTTTATTTTAATAGTGGTAGTTATGAACTGTGGATGATCTGTGTACATGTCTCTCGGAGAGGGGGAGAAAATTGATTATACCCTTGCAGGTGAGTGATCATATTAATTGCCGTATCAGTAATTTTAAGATACATAGGAGGAAGAAATCTTGTTGGTTTCTGTCTGGATAGATTACCCCCATTACATTTTGTTAAACCTAATTTGAATTTTGATCTTCAATAACATTCCATTTGACTGTAAACTTTTAAAGGGTTTTCAAATAATATTTTAGTTCAAGAAATTAGTGTTCTGTAGTGATATTGATGCAGTATTGCATTTTTTAATAAATAAGTAAAATTCCTAGAGTAGATTATACATTTTTTGGAATGGGAGGTTGGAAACTACCAATAATCATTCGTCATGTAGAATATTTGATTCTTGTTGCTAGCTCTCAATCATATCTTGAAATCAATTTGTGGAGAGCCTCTTTTATGCACATTACTCGTATCAATTGAAGCCATACCAGGATTAAACCTCAGACACTGGTGTTGATGCGATGAATAAAGACTATTCTTCATTCTGTACAGTAGTTCATTGTTTGTATCATCTGCTTGTATACTATCCTCGTTGAATCATTTATTTTACATTTAGTTACTATAATGATACATGCACCGTGCAATACTTTCAATGATGAAGTGGTTGTTGACAACATGACGTTTATGCAGTTGGATAAAGTGGAGGTTACAGTTCCTGAAGCTGCTACAAAGGGTGCATCAAAGGTACTATACTTTATCTTCACTGACCTCCTTTATGAGATCATATCCTTTCTTGGAGCTCTGCATCGATCTATTCTCTTTCATCTTATCAAAAAATGAATTGGGGCCTTCATCTTTTTTGATAAAAACAAATGACGAATTCTGTCTTTCTCAGTTTAATTTATTATGATTTCTCCTCTCGTATGAGATTGCTGAAGCCAACCTGTCACTTTCTGGAGATTAATAATATTTCTTCTATGGGTTTCTATAGGAAAATCTCAATAAGAGTCATGGTGGAAACTCTTTTTCCTTCTTCAGGGATGTTAACAGCACCAAGTCAGCACCACTTTTGTCTGGGAGGAAACAAGATCCTGCTGAGGGGGGTGCCACACGAATGACTTCGTCACTCTCAAACAAGTTTCAACCGTATGTTTTACCCACACCAGTTGAGGCAAAAACTACAGATTCAGTAAAATCATATAGCGTACACCCTCAAACAAGGCGAACTGGCCAGACTGCTAGTGTACTTCACTCATGGCATTCGTCCCCTTTGGATCAGTTCAAACATGAAAAGCTTGTGGCAGATGNGAGATGAGAAGTTATCTGGACCTATCACCTTGAATACACAATCAGTTCTCACAGAGAGCAACAATTATGCAAAATCTGGTCCGCTGCCCCCTCCACTGTCAGAAGGCCTCTCATCTTTGCAGCATGATTGGTCCAATGCTAAAAAGGTCAAGAGACAAGCTTTTTCTGGTCCTTTGACCGCGAAGCCGTGGCCAAAGAAGCCTGTTGTTTCTGCTGGTAGTCCAATTGCTTCAACTGGATACCCTCAGCATTTTTCTCTGCCTTTCTTGCATACTTCAACGCCTGAACCTTCATCGGCCCCTAAATTATCTTCACGTACTTCTCCTCCTCTCATGTCATCACCTAAAATAAGTGAGTTACATGAACTACCTAGACCACCAGCTAATTTAGCCTCCAAAAGACCCCCACGTCAGATTGCTCATTCAGGACCTTTGGTGTCAAAAGTCCAGGAGCTTTCTTCCACAAATAAAGCAGCAGTGTCTTCAGCTGCTTCTACACTACCAACACCTCCAGCTCTTCCTCGTAGTTACTCCATACCATCTAGGGGCCAGATAGAAACAGCTTTCCATGTTTCTAAGCCACTGGAAGATATGGCTTCACCTCCTTTAACGCCAATAGCCTTCGGGAACATCCAGCATTCTCCCCCTGCTTCATAGCCTCCAAACTAGCTAGTCAAATGGAAGGTGTAACTACGCGAGCTGCCAGTAATTTTCTGACTTTCCAGAGGAGCTTAATTGTTCTATCAGTGCAACTCAGATAGGGTGAAAGGCAACATTTTGCTAGGGTATCCTAATGTACAGCAATTGAGTCTTCTGTTGCTTCTGATGTATGATGGCATTTTTGTATTCGCCGTAAGTATATCTATTTTGCTTTTCTCATTAGATGCAGGCTTCTTCACCTTGTAACTATTTAAAGCTTCTATAAGACCACAACAAGTGGCTTAGATAGTTCTATATTAAAATCTTTCTGTAAATATCCCAAAAGTAACCTATCCGTAGGGAGAAAGGAGTACAAAATTGTGGAGAATATCAAAGTCCATGGAAAGCATGCATTTTCGTTTACTTCTTGGTAGTTGGTAGTTAGCGGATAATTACAGTTAAATTGACATATGCTAATAACTTTGTGAGAGAAGTAGAACATGTAGAACTCACTTTTTATGGAGCTTAATGTAACACAAGTGAGCTGTTCTAGCATATTGAAATTTAATAGATTGATTTGATGCTCACTTCAGAAGGAAGATGCTGATATAAAATTATGCATCAATGAGAGTTGTAGATTCACACTGTTGTTATAAGTTTCTGTATTTATAATGAGATTTGGTAATTCCCTAACATCTAGAAGTTTGAGGAAGTAGTTCTATTTCGTTGCATGTGTTGAAAGCACAAATTGTGCAGCTTGAAGTACAAGATGTGCTTGTACAGCTGAAGATATTTTAGGGGGGTGTTACTAAATGAATTACTTGGTTAGAAGTTAGTTACAGATTAGTTAGGAGAAAAATCTTAGTCAGTAGTATAAATGGCTCAATTAGATTGCTTGGGTTAGTGAAATTTGCAATACAGAAACAAATTTCTTCTCTGAATATCTCACAGCTCTCTCTGATGGCTGCATCTTGATTCTTCATTCTAGATTTGAACAGCGTGTTTGTTTGCCATACAACACTGTAACCTGATCTCAAGTCTGTAGGCTAATGTGAATGCTTGAAAAGAGAACACACACACACACAGAGAGTATGAGCTTGTTTGTTTTGATCATATCTTTTTTTGGGTGTTTGCTCTACGATGGTATGGGATCATTTTTGTATGAATGAGACATCCTTTGTTTCTGCTTGTTTATTGTAAGACTTGAAGCTCATTGAAGAAGGAATATTTCGGAGTTTCTATACTATAATGGAAGTTTAAAACCATAGGAACTAGCAGTTTTTATTTTATTTTTTCTGCAACAGTGTCAGAATCGCACTTATATTACCAAAACATTAAGCGCTTAACTTACAAAACTCAGTGATGATTTTAATTTTAAAACAAAGTACATAAAGAACAAGTAATGAGTGAACCTGAGGAAAATAGAAGAAGTCCAACATTGGGCTATACTCGGTGGATGCACTATCCACTTGCAGTCAGGGGCGGATCTACGTAGAGAAGAGGGAGTGTCACGATGTTAGCCCCTTGACAAAGTTCCACGGCAGGTGTGGTTTGTGACAAGGATTTTTATGATGGCTTGGTAAACAATCTGAAAAATGGGGCAACATAATGATAGGCAGCTCGGCATGACGGACTATGCGGGGTTGACAAACGCACCTTGAATGGAGGCAAGATGCATTTCACTTGGACGTGCAGGTTGGCATAACAATGATAAGGCAAAACCATGTCAAAGCTGGGGCAAAGACATGGCAATACAAGGCAAGGCAATGCGGGACAAGCAATGACAATTGATGCGGGCAGATTTGATCAAGCTGAGGGCGGCTTTGTCACGACCCAAACCTATGGGCCGCAACGGGCCCCGGTACCCTACTTAACCGAGTACAAACATAACATATCTTTCTTATTGTACTTTCATTGGCAAATGGGCCAAACGGGTCGTCATGGGCTAGCCAGAATAAACATTGGGGAATACTTAATATAGGACGAACCAACCTGATATAAAAACTTATACATGTGATGTACGGGCCTATAAGGCCAACATGATTATTTGTAAACTCAAAACATAAGCCGGTGTCACGACTCAAACCAATAGGCCCGACGGGCACCCGGTACCTTACTCAACCGAGTACCTACATAACGCATCTTTCATATCATTCTATCATAAGTAAATGAACCGGAGTAAAGCATGAGGGAATAAAAACTTATACATATGAAGTACGTGCCAATAAGGCCGGCATGACTTTTTTTGTATACTCGAAACATAGGCCGACAAGACGATACAACTATCCGTATACCTGACATCTGTCTACAAGCCTATAAGAATACATAATATCATAAAGGTCGCGATAAGGTCCCGCCATACCAATCAATACATATACTAATCATACTGAGCAAACAAGCAACTCCGGAGCAAATGGAGCGCACCAACACCTTCCACTGAGCTGATAGCCTACTTGGAGGACTCTCGACCTATCTATCAGGACCTGCGGGCATGAAACGCAGCATCCCCAAGCAAAAGGGACGTCAATACAAATAATGTACCGAGTATGTAAGGAATGAAAATCAGTAACTAGTAGACATGAGAGAAACATGGAGTAAAAAACTCAACATGTATATGTGAATAACTCTGTGAATCGTTTAATATTATAATATCGTGCATATGCGTATAAATGTCATACCATGCATGGTATATGCGTTCATAACATCATCAAGCCTTTGAGGACATCCCATAATATCATCTCAGCCACTGCGGGCAAATCATCAATGTATACCAGTTGATCAGGTGGTGGTGCGTATATAACGCTGTAACCTTTTTCCATATCCCATATACATATAATATACATATATACGCATATATAACACCATCTGGTCACGGGTCAATGTAAATGAATGCAATGCATGAAAAGTACGTCAATAAAATCTTTTGGAATGTCACAAGACCATTATGCATTGAGTAGTATCATGAAGTAAACTTTTTTTTTCAACTTACGTATTTTTCTGAGACCCATGAATAGATGATAGAATCATATGACACATGAGGAATCAAGAACATATGCATCTCTGATATTTCTATGAGTAGAGTCATGTATGGAAATTGTGCATTTGCACATTTCGCTTGTGTCGTATGGATCAGCCAAAAGAAAGAAGGGATAGCCTTAACATACCTGAGCCGATCCTCTTGACGATTCCTCTAACACACGTCACTTGCGACAACATATAACGACAGATCGAAGTAGGGAAAAATCCATATGATATTCTTGAGAACGATTGCACCATACTCCTTTAGAATCGCAAAATCCTATTGCTATAACATTACGTAATCTCGTATGGAATTTTGTTGTAGCTTCGCACTTTGTCATAATCTTCATCCGCATTTTTGTACTACTAAATCTTTGGCTCCACAAGTAAAGCTCCAAATAACCATGAAAGAATACTTGAAAGTGCAAAGCTCCTTGCAATTAAATCACCTATGCCCTCTTTGCCGTGACCACTAGTAAGATAACAATCACCTTATTAATTGTTGCAAGGTTTCACGGCAGCCCCATCCATAAGCTTTTTTCTCTTGAATTGTGTCTAATAATCTCTTTATCTTGGAGATTTGTGGGCCCCCACTTTGTGGATGAGTTGACCAACTATTATTCTAAATGTGCCACCTATATGTGGACTTTAAGAGTCACATTTTTGTGACTTTGTTGGCTTTGATGTGCAGCCACGTTGGTGGATGTAATTCTTATCCAATATATCCCCAAATAATTAGGTAATGTTCCATTACCCGGTAATTAACCAATTACCCGCATAATTAAGAATTATCTCAACTTACTTAAAATACTACTCGCTTTTAACATACCTTGTACACCTTACTATCATGGTCATGTAGTACCTTGTATGACACTAGTCCATAAATATCGGGTATTAACGCTCAGCCTGTATTTTATCCCAATATGCCGAACTTGGACGAAAAATTTATTTTCTTTGACTTGCTTCCCCTCTCACCTTCACGAATTTACTCATCATTTATTTAAAATAACACAATCCTTATAATCTCCAAATAATCTTTTTTCTTGGACTAATGTCAATTACCTTATGACAAATTCAACGTATAATACTACATGGTGCAACATCATCGTAATTTAATACTTCGAAGCGTAACATCATCATAATATAATACCTCAAGACGTAATATTGACGTAATATTGCGGGGCGTAATATCCGGCAAGGCCATACAAGCATCCGTATATATGATATCTGTCTACAAGCCTGTAAGAGTACATACTTATCATAAAGGTCGGGACAGGACCCCGCCATACCAAACAATACACGTCTAGATCATATTGACCAAACAAGCAACTCCGGAGCAAACAGAGCGCACCAACATCTTTTGCTGAGCTGATAGCCTACTTGGAAAATTCTCGACCTGTCTATCGGGACTTGCGGGCATGAAGCATAGTATCCCCAAGTAAAAGGGACGTCTGTACAAATAATGTACCGAGTATATAAGGAATGAAAATAAGTAAATAATAGACATGAGAGAAACATGGAGTAAAAGACTCGACATGTAAGTCTAAGTAACTCTGTAAATCATGAAATACTCATAGTGTCATGCATATGCGTATGAATGTCATGTCGTGCATAGGTACATGTTTTCATAACATGATCAAGCCTCTGAGGGCATCCCATCACATGATCTCGGTCACTGTAGGCAAAATCATCAACGTATACCAGTTGATTAGGTGGTGGTGCATATATAATGTCGTAACCTTTTCCCATATCCCATATATATATAATATATATATATATATATATATATACACACACACACACACACACACACACACACATACACACGTATATAACGCCATCTGGTCATGGGTCAATGTACATGAATGCAATGCATGAAGTACGTCAATAAAATCTTTTGGAGTGTAATACGACAATTATGCCTTTGAGTAATATCATAAAGTAAACATTTTTTTTCAACTTACATATTTTTGTGAGACCCATGAATAGATGATAAATAATATGACACATGGAGAATCAAGAACATAAGCATCTCTAGTATTTTTATGAATAGAGTCATTTATGAAAATTGCGCATTTGCTCATTTCTTTTGTCGTATAGATCATGCCAAAAAGAAAGAAGAGATAGGCTTAGCATACCTAAGCCAATTCTCTTGAAAATACCTCTAACACACATCAATTGCAACAAATCACATAACGGTGGATCGAAGTAGGGAAGAATCCGTATGATATTCTTGAGAAAGATTGTACCGTACTCTCTTAGAATCGCAAAATCCCGTTGCTATAAAATTACATAGTCTCGTATGATTTTTGGCTGCAAAGTCACGTTGCTAATATTTTTGACTGAGTTGCTGAACTTCCTTTCTCATTTTAGAGATTCAAAAATTATTTAGAAAGGTTTTCTTA